AGGCTTATCACGTGAAAGAAGAAGAAGAGGAAATAACTTTTGTTGATATCTCCTTTCTCCTTTTCCCTTACCTTTAATATCTTATAAAATAAGAATTTTAAATTCATTTTTCTTTAAAGGACTAAAATGCCCTCTAAACCATCCCTTGTTACAATTTAGTTCAAAACACTATTCCAAATCATTTTCTCATATTTTACCAATTATTCAAATAAATCTTAAATTTTTAATTCTTTTCAATTTAGTCTTTGACCTAATATTTGGGGTATTACAATGGATTTCAACCTTTTTTCTTCTATTAGGTTTAGTTGATCATATTGAGTTTGCACCCATTCTGTATCATCCAGTTTAACTTCTGAAAAAACCCGTAGTGATAGGATATCTACCTCAATGGGCAATACCGCCTTATCCCATATGCTAATGAAAATGGGGTTGTCCCAGTTCAAGTTCGCACCGAAGTTTGATAAGCAAACAAGGTAAAAGGTAACTTCTCTACCAATCTTTGTATGTCTCAGTCATTTTCTCCACTATTTTCTTGATATTTTTATTTGCTACTTCTACCGCTTTATTCATCTTTGGTCGATAAGCAGTAGAATTATGATGTTTTATGTTGAATTGTTCACATGCAGCATCCATCATTTTGTTGTTTAAGTTGGTTGCATTATCGGTAATGATCCTTTCTAGTAAACCAGACCAACACATGATCTCTTTTTTCAAGAATTTACAAATAGTGGATTGAGTGACATTGGCATATGACGCAGCCTCGATCCATTTGGTAAAGTAGTCAATCGTTACAAGAATGAATCGATGATCGTTTAAAACTTGTGGATGGATCTGTCTAATGACATCCATGCCCCACATGGAAAAGGGCCACGGTCTCGTCATTACATGAAGTTGACAGGGTAGAACATTTTTTTATCCCTGTAGACTTGGCACTTATGATATCGTCTGTCATAATTGATGCAGTCATTCTCCAATGTGAACCAAAAGTATCCACACCTCATAACTTGTCTTACCATCATATGCTCGTTTGCATGTGTTCCACACACTCTGTCATGTACCTCTTCTAATATTATTGTTGCTTCTTTCGCATCTACACACCTTAGCAAGACTTGATCATGAATTTTCTTATATAAGACCTTTCCATCAAGAACATATATGGATGTCATTCTTCTGATTGTCCTTTTGTCAGTATTAATGGCTTCCTTCAGATAGCTTTGATTTTTTATATATTGCAGAATTTTATGATACCATGTTGTTTCATCTTTACCCCTTCGATTTGATAACAATGAGCCGAGTACTCATATGATTGCATCTTGATTGTCATCAAGTCAGATTCTCCATCAGCTTTGAATGTTGCTGCCAAGGTAGCTAAAATATCTGCCATTGGTTCACTTATCTTGGTACGTAATGAAAAGTGACCTCATCAAATTCTTTTAGTAGATCCAGAATGAGCTTTTTGTATTCCACCAGCTTGGTATCTTTTGTTTCCCACTCTCCTCGGAGTTGATAGATCTCTAAGGCAGAATCTCCATATATCATCAGAGTCTTTATGTTCTGTCCAATAGCAGCTTGAATCCCTAAACATAAGCTTATATTCTGCCATGTTGTTAGTACAGTCAAAATTAATCTGCTAGTGAATGGATAGTGATTTCCTTCGGGTGAGGCCAAAATAGCCCCAATACCGTGCCCCAACGATTTGATGGACAATCGAAATGCATTTCAGGAGTTATATGTGGAAATACTTACTTCTTCTAAAGATATGGCCATCAAGTCTTCATCTGGGAAATCAAAGTCTAATGGCTCATAGTTTTCAGACGTTCTGCTTGCTAGAAAGTCAGATATGACACTTCCCTTGATAGCCTTTTGGCTCACATACTCAATATCGAATTCAGATAATAATATTGACATCGGGCTAATCTTGCAGAGAGAGCATGCACACTCATCATGAATTTAAGCGGATCCAACTTGAAAATTAACCAAGTGGTATGATATAGCATATATTGTTGAGTCTTCGTGTGGCCCAGACTAGAGCACAACAAACCTTTTCGATGGGTGGATATCTAGCTTCGCATTCGGTGAACTTATTACTTAGATAGTAAATGGCTCTTTCTTTCCTTCCTGATTCTTCATGTTGTCCCTTGACACATCCCATCGAATTTTCAAATATAGAGATATAAAGGAACAAAGGCTTGCCTTGGATGGGAGACATTAGAACAGGAGTGCGAGACAAATACTCTTTCATTTTCATGAAAGCGATCTGGGAATCCTCATCCCATGTTCCAGAATTATTCTTTCGATGTAGACTGAAAATTGGATCACATTTATCTGTCAACTAGGATATAAACCGAAAATATAATTTAATCTGCCCATAAAACCTCAAACTTCTTTATGTGTTCATGGGGGAGGTAGATTCTGGATAGATTTGACTTTATCTGGACCAACTTCAATGTATTTTCTGCTAAAAATGAAGCCCAACAGCTTCCCAGATGTTACTCCAAATGTGCACTTGTTTGGATTCAACTTTAATTGGAATTTTATTAGTCTTTGGAAGAGTTTCCTCAGATTCTCGATGTGTTCATCATCAGTTTGTGCCTTGACAATCATGTCATCAACATAAGCTTTGATTTCTTTATGCAACATGTCGTGAAACAAGGTCACCATGGCTCTTTGGTATGTTGCCCATGCATTCTTTAATCCGAAGGGCGTTACCTTGTAACAAAATATCCCCCACATCATGACAAACATGGTCTTCTCCATGTCTTATGGATGAATCTTAATCTGGTTGTATCCTGAGAACCCATCCATGAATGAGAAGAAAGAATTTTCAATTATATTATCCACCAAAGTGTCTACGTACGACAAAAGGAAGTTATCTTTAGGACTTGCTTTATTGACGTCCCAGTAGTCGACGCACATGCTCACCTTTCCATCCTTCTTTGGTACTGGAACTATGTTAGCCACCCACTCTGGATATTTGGTACAACCATGAAAACACGTCTTTGTACTCCTTAAGTAAGTCTATCAAGTTTTTCCTTGCTTTAGACGAAAGAGTTGTGCCAATTTTGACCTCTTTTATTTCTTCTCCAGTACCCAAATTCAGAACTTCGATTTTCTCCTCATGGGGAAATATTTGTTTGTTTTCTCTCTCCACCATTCTTAATAGCTTAGAAGGTAAGTTGCACTCTTCTTCATGGTCACATTCATCAATTTCCCCAAGACACTTGAATTGCTCAAAATCCACCACCAGGTCAGTATCGTTATTGTCCACATCAAGAAGATCCAAAGACCTGAAAGGGCAAAGAGAAGAAAAATATGTACATACGAGATAAAAAATATACCACATATAATGAATAAAGGAAACAAAATTATATACGAAAGAAAGGAAATAAAATAAAGCAAAAAGGGGAAAAATGTTTATCGGAAAGGAAAATTGCATCTTTTATTGAAATATAAATAACAACAATCCATAAACCTTTACAAACGATCACCTATTGCCTCGGGTATAGGTAAATAGGGAAAGTTTGAGTATTACACTGAACGAGATTTGAAAACCACGGGTAATTCTTCAGCCGTCCAGTTATTAAGCACGAACCCTAGTGGTAACATACAAATTCCAAATCTATCCATGTCTTCATTATTATCTATTCATATAGCATTGATGCTCAACTCTTTCAGAGCTACTCTCTTGTTAGGTAAGGTCATCATTGTTTCTTCCTCAAAAGTATAACCGCCAAACCTGAATGTTCTATGAAGAGGAGGAAAATACATTAGCTCCCATTGAATTTCTTCCCAAGTCCATCTCGTTCTTCTTCTTTCTTAGCATTTCTAAACTTCTTTCCTTCTTTGTTGATGACTAGGCTGAAATCTGAACCCAAACTGATCTAGCTTGGTAACAGGAAAATGAGGCAAATTTTTCTTTGTAGAGATTTCCCAAACCCCCTTTTAATCTCTATACCTCTCCCCAAAGTCTGTCTGATTTCCATCTTGGTGCAATTGGAGAATCTAGGTCTGGGAATCTTACCCCCTTCGGTAAAATATGTGGCATTAACAAACTCCAATGATCATAAAGAACATTCTAGAGCTTCCTCACTCACGTCTATATAAGGGGCCTCTTGGTCACGCTTGCCACTATGTCTTCTTCAGCATTGATAATTATTAGAGTCCCGTCGATAATAAACTTGACTTTCTAGTGCAGGTTTGATGGTATTGCCCAGCTTGATGGATCTATGGCCTTCCTAAAAGGCAATTGTAAGACGATATAATGTCCATCACCAGGAACTTTATGTTATAAGTGGCGGGTCCAATGGTTAACTGTACCTCAATATTTCTGAGCACTTCTCTCTTTATCCAATTAAATGCTCGAACCACGATCTGGTATGTTATCATGTGATATGTATCTATTGGTATCCTTTTCAGAGTGATAAAAGGTATTACATTAAGGGCTAAACCATTGTCTATTCGTACACTTGGCAAAAAATGCCCTTTCAATGGGTGATGATGTGTAATGCTTTAACTCGGCCTCTTTCTCGGATGGAATCTCATCATAAAAAAATGAGACGAGATTATCAGCTTGAATGTTATTAACCAGTCGATCTATTTTATTGACTGGTATGCCTTTCGGCATAAATGTTTGATTCACGACCTTCAGAAGTGCCTCTTTGTGTGCTTCTGAGCTTAGCAGCAGTGCCAACCTTGAAATACGTGTTGGGAGGATATATAACTATTCCAAATGTTGTACTCACTTGTTTTAACAATTTTAAGAACTCTACAGTCTCTTCTTCCTTTATTGGCTTATTTACTATGGGTACATCTCCTTTGAATGGCTCGAGTGGTCTATAGTGTAAGTTAGACTATTTGGAGTGGTATTTCCCATTAGTATGCCTCATTTCACTGACATATTCTTTCACAGAGCTTACTTGACATGCATACTTCCAAGGCACTTGTTTTTTGTCTCTATAGGGAAATGATCTTGGTTCCGTTATTACCACTTTTGTTGGTGCCTAATCTGCCACCTTTACTTTTGAAACGATTATCAAAGGATGGTTCACGCCAAATCCTTTGTCAGGTGAATCTCCGGCAGTATAAATATCGACTTCTGGAGTGTCCTGATCTTCCTCATAAAATTCCAGCTCTTTCATGTCCATCATTAGTTGGATAAAAGTTTTAAATTCAGAACATTTACATATCTTGTCCTTTTTCATTGTGATTACAAAAATGATTACCACATTCGTATTCTGATGTGTTAGGATGAGGTACAAGAAGTTCTGCCCTTACCATCTGCCTCCATACCCAGGCCAGAGGAGATTTTACTTCAGAAACACTTGTTTTAACTCTTTTTACCTTCTCATTGATAATTACATTAACCCCACTTTCTTGGTGGTTAGACAGAGGGTTCTGTGCAATATTAGGTGATTCTAAATTATTAAAATGAATCCAGTTTCTATTGGACATCCTTTGAACAATCCTCTTAAAGGCGAGGCAGTTTTCAATGGCATGCCTCGGGACACCACCATGATACTCACAATATGTGTTTTCGTCATAACATTTAGGGTATGAGGGCTTTAGTGGTTCTACTAGGTATGATGACACCACATGTGTTTCAAAAAGATGCTGGTATAGTTCCTTATATGCCATGGGAATTGGCTCGAAATACTTATTTTTCCTCATTGGTTCCTTTGCATCTTGTCTAGAAGTACCTAATGGTACAACTGTAGTTGGTTTGGACTTAGAGGTCGTAACACCTTTACTGGTGTTGATGTTATTGATCTCTACTTCTTTCTTTTTCATGGGAGGTCTCTTGCTTGATTCACCTCCATCTATCTTTTCTTGTTTAATGGTTATCTCGATCATCTCTTCGGTCATAATCAGATCATAGAAATTCCCAGATGTAATTATAACAAGATGTCTGAAGAAAGGAACCTTCAAAGTATCTACGAAAAACTTTATTGTTTCTTTTTCATCCAAATGAGGATGAACTTGTACAGCTAAATCCCTCCATCGTTGTGTATATTGTCTGAAGCTTTCATTATGTTTCTTCTCCATACTTTACAACATGACACGATCTGGCCTCATGTCATTTACATGCTTGTATTGTTCTAAGAAATACTTGGCGAGATCTTTCCATGTTTTGATGTGTGAACGGTTCAGCTGATTATACCACCGGATGCCTGAACCTGACAAACTCTCCTGAAAGTAGTGAATTAGGAGCTAGTTATTTCCCATGTATTCTGTCTTCTTTCAACAGAACATGGTAATGTGAGCTGAAGAACAACTGTTCCCATCATATTTCTCAAAATTTAGGACTTTGAACTTAGAGGGAATAATTAGATCTGAGGCTAAGCTTAGTTCAATAGCATCAACCCCGTAATAATTATCTTCCCCCTTAATAGTCTTCATTTGGTCTTCTAACAACTTTATTTTCTCCTCAATCTTCTTTGCTTTATCTTCTTCATCAAAATCCGGAGTGTGATAATCATTCAGATTGTTTTGAGGGTTAGTTACGGAAGTTTGTGCTTTTTTAGCCGATAAAGCTTGTACTTTTACAACGGATGATACATGTGCTTTTGCAGTGGATGAGTCTCCTTGAAGTCCCGGTAAGATTTCAGGTGAGATAATCAACTGTAGGGTAGGTGGTACAATCACCCCTTCAGATGCCCCTGCCCCAGGAGTACTCATTTGATTTAGGCTAGACAGCCTTGCAACAATATGATCAACTAAAGAATCCTGGTTCCTAGTGATGGAATCCATGGTATTTATTTGATTTTAACTTATTTTCTCTTATAGTTCCTTCTATAACCTTAGCATGCTTTCTTCAAGTTGAACGATCTCAGCTTCCATTTTCTTTTTCTTTGAACGGGTATTATGAAAGATGAGGTGTATCCAATGCTTGAGGTGGTACGTCTAGTGTTTGTTCCTTTTTTTGATGAGACATTTTCTGTTAGTGAATGTAAAGAAATGAAAAGAAAAAAATGCAAAATATGCAAGAATGCATTACACATGAAGTTTCGAGGCACTGATCCAAAATCGTGTATGTTATTATAAATAATCTTTATTGGGACAAAAGTGTTATTTCTAAGAGATAAGAACAAATCAAAGGTACATTCTAAGTTTTCTAGACCCGAAACGGCTTCTAATAGGTTGACAAGTCTTCTTCCTTCATCTGTCACCGACTGAATACCTTGTCGAACTGTTCGGGCTTCTCTCGTCAAACCGTGCAAGTGGTGTGACACTTTTTATACTTGCTCTAAGAAGTCTTGAATAACTGCATCTCTAGCCTTCACTCTTTACTGAGCTTGTTCCCAATGGAAACGCCATTGGAGTCCTCTATCGAAAGGGACTATTTTAAGCTTATTTGATTGTTTCTTGAATTTATCCACAATGGCCTCCAACTCAACTATGGTTTTACTATCCTGTTCTTGTTGTCTTTCAATAGACCTCTCCATATCAGCTACCTTAGTATTCAACTGTTTGTTCTGGTGTTGGTTTTCGAACAAACGTCTTTGGGAAGTATTTAATTGTTCTTTCAGTGTCTCTCTTTCATCTTGTCCCATGAACTTCCTTTTCAGGCTACTGGCTTCACCTTTCCAGTATTTGAAAGATATTTTTAAACTGGAATTATTTTGAACTTGCTCTTGATACCATTTTCTCAAATCTTCCAACTCAAACCAGACTTTCTTATGTTCATTTTCTAGCTTGTCTGCTCGATTTTTTTAGTATCAGCATCTAACTTCCATTGGAATCTTTTAACTTTGAGTTCCCTTAGTCTTTGTTTTAACTCTTTCTTTTCAGCTTCAAATTCCATTCTTTGTTATCTCTAATTTAGAAGGAACATATTTTATATACTCCTTTATGGTCAGAGTATCCTCATGATCTGGTATGGAAATGATGTCATTCTTTTTTAGCTTTCTTCATTCTATATAATATGGAGTGAGCATGCCTTTAGCAACTACGACATTAGTGCGAAATATTTTCTTTCATGACTCAACTACATCTTTGACATTCTTTTTGTAGTTGTATGGTATGCAAACTCTGATCCATATATCTCATGTGTAACTGGGACAAACTATCGGGCCCCATATTGTTGAAGTACCAAAAGTGGAGAATAGCCAACTCTTCCCTATAACCCAAGTAACATTATGATTCCTAAGTCTCCACATCGGTAAAGGATATCACTATGGGTCGGCCAAGGGGCTCTACATACAATGTCTTTATCTTGAAGGTACATGAACACAGTTATCCACTTCTTCTTCAGAATGACTTCTCGCCACTTTTGTGTAAGAAATTCCTCCAAAGGATAGTAAGTGGTACTGAAATGGCAGTAAGAAATCCCATTAGTCTTCCAAAAATGGTTGTGGATCCAAACATGAAGAAGTTGTGTGCACCCTATAAATTGTTCTCCACCAGTCCTTCTGTAATGATTTAGTGAACGAAAAGTTTCGGCTACGATTACTAGCGCAGGGTTCACTCGCTTAGGTAGTTGTTCAAACAATTCCACCACAATTACCTCAATGTGTCCTCAAGTTTTTGGGAAGATAACCAAGCCATAGATACCCAGTACAAAAAGGTCAACCACCTTCTATTCATCAAGATGATTCTTTATTAACTGCTTGATATTAGTCCAAGCAATTCCTTCTCCCTTGCCTTTGTGTTGAATCCTGTCAGTTACCCAGTTTTCATCTACCCCTGCAACCTTTGCCAACCTACTCTTGAAAGGATGACTTTTGATATATTTGGTGTAGACCCGGTCCATTTTGACTCCTTCAAAATTCAATAGAGTAGTGTACTCCTCAATTGTGGGCACTATGTCTTACTGGTTGAATGTAAAGCAACTGTAACCCGGATTCCAAAATTGCATTGAGGCTTGAATTAAATATTCATCAATCTTGACATAGAGCAGATGTGAAATATCACCGTACCTCTAGCATAATCTTTGTCTCCTATCATTTTTCCAACTGTCCTAAATGCTCCGCAACTCCTGAATATCATCCTGCTTAAGGCTAACAAAAGCATAACCAACCAGATCTGACACATAATTACTTTGCAGATTGTCCTTCTTTTCCTTCTGAGTCTTTTATGACCATAGTCAGACCTCTGCATTTTTCACCTCTTGCATTACAATCCCTTTGTCCATTAATGCAAATTGTTTGGGTTTTAATGAACACTTTTTGTGGACCAACATCTCTTTAAATGATACAAATGATCCGAATAAAAAAGAAGAAACAAAAATGAAAGAAAACAAGTTAATAAAATAAAGATAATAATCGAAATGATAATAAAATTAAAGAATTCCTACCCCACATGATATTTACCCCACATGCTTTTTCTTCTTACCCGACCATGATTTCTATCCCTCATACTAAATTTCTGAACAAATCCTAACAATATATATTTCTAATTCGCATGCCTTGAATAGAGAATAAAGTATGAAATAATTCAAGTAGCCTAGGTTTTGAAATGGAGTTTCGGGGTGGGCTCTTATTCCTAATAGCATCCCAGTTTAGGTTCTAAAAAGGTACCCGAGTTCTCCTTGCTGGTGCCCCCTTGGGCTTGCCAGATCCTTAGTCCTAAGCCCATTACAAGCTCATATGGATCAAGTTAAACTCGAGAGGATATATTTTCTTATGTCTGTACGAATAATAAATTCACACAAAGACATAAGGTATATGAATTCTGAAGGTTACTTACTAGGCCTATACGGAGCGTCGCTTTCACCTCAGCTTAAAAATGGTTTGGAGCTCGGGTATAGAGCCTGAGAGAAATTTTTGAAAAGCTGAAATCATTAAAAAAACATCAATATGACTATTTATTTGAAAAATAATAATCAAATGTAAATAATAAGGATCGAAAAGATAAATTTAAATTTAAACTTACAATTTTCGTTCAAGAAGACAACTGGAAATTAATTTTAGCCTGACTCACTTACATGTCCACAGCAGAGTCGCCGAACTGTCATAATCGTCCCTCGGGTGGGCTCGAAATCGGGTTCCAACTTAATTTCAATGTGATGGAGCTGCCACCGATCTTTTTAAAATTAGGTCGATAGGATACCATAATTTACCATTTTACCTGATCTGCATTTTTACCAGAATTGAATCGGATTCGAGAGTCGATCATAGTCATGAAATGATACTTATGTACTGCCCTTTCGGTACTAATTTAATTTCTTGGTTGTCTTAATTGCAAAAATTAAAGGTTAAATTAAAATTTAAAAGTTTTATCTGAATTACTTACCATTGAAGGGTTTAAAATTGACCTAAAAACATAAATCAAATTAATGTTAAATAAGAAAAAATAAATATAAAAAATAAAGAATTAAAAGAAAACTTCAATTAAAAATGACCAAATTGAAAAGAATTAAAAGTTAATGATCAAATTAACATTAATTAAAGATTGCAAGAACAAAATAAGAAGTTAGGGGGTCAAATTGCATAAATATAAAAATATAAATTGGGATTAAATTGAATAAATTTGAAATTCAAGGGCAAACTTACTACGGGTGACCAAAATGAATTACGCATCAAAACTGTAGGGACTGCAGAAATAATTTAAGAATTTCATATTTACACAAAGGCCCTTCCTAAATACCCCCCAAATCACTAAAAATAACATTTCACTCATTTCTCCCAAAATCAAATCCTCTCACTTCTGTCTAAACTCCCTCTAAAATCTCTCAACTAGCTTATGACCGGCCATCACTCCGGCGAAGCCCCGTCGCGCCGACCACCACCTCTGGTGGCCGGAAACCTAAAAGCTTACCCAAAATTTCCCTCTTGACCTCGTGAACTTAAAACCGAGGTCCAAACACCCTAAAACACCCCCTCTGATGTAGATCTAAACGTAGCGTTTCAATTTTTTACCTTTTTCCGATGAGGTCTCTTCGCTTTCTCAGTGATTGTTCCTCCTCATACGAGGCTTCTACGCATTCCGATGACCTTCAAAGAAACAAAGCTTTAAGCTTTTTTTTTTTTGATTTCGAATGTTTTTGCTCTTTGCTTTGGCTTGGGTTTTCGTATATTTGTTGTATACTGCTTGGTTTTTTTGTTTTGAAGTTTTTTTAGTGATGGTTTTATGTGTTCTTTTTGTTGGTTGTCATGGTATTTTTCTTGATGATGGTTCCTCTGTAGTTGCTTGTATTTATATAGCCCCCGGTCGGGGCTATTTTTATGCTATTTTAGGGATCGTTCACTCATCCTCGTTTTACCCAGGCTTAAGAAGGTTGTTGTTGACCGACTAAACAGGATGATGCAGTCCCAATTTAGCCAGGGTTCCTTTGCATGTTTGATTTTTTAGCGCTTTTCTCGACTTTGGTTGTTTCGTTGGTGCGTGGTCGTTGTTCGGCTGGTGGGTATCTTTCAATTTTCTCGATCTGTCGTTGGATCATTTTGACTAGATGTGTTACTCCTGTGCGGCGCTGGTGCTAGGGTTAAAACCCTAGTTGTCTTCAATCTGGACCATTGATCTATCCTCAATCTAACTGCCGTGAACCGTGCGACGCCCCTAGCTTATGACAAAACTCTTTTATCTTGGGCTGGATCAGGCTCCCTAACCGGGCTAGCTTACTGGGTCAGGTCTGCTGGCTCGGTTGGGTTGCACTCTGGACTGAATTGGACTCAAATTTAAACTTAGACCTGTTTGAAAGATAATAATATAAATAAAATAATAAATAATAATATAAATAATATATAATAAAAACTATATAACATATATTATATTTTCAAAAATAATATGTTTTCAAAAATTATTATTAT